AATATTTTATGGCCTAAATAAGACTAGTGGCAAAACAATAAATAGATGAAAGCGTATTTTGGATCTAACCGAAGAAATTATGTTTTCAAAAGAAGAAAACGTTTTCTAGAAAGTTGCTATGGACTGCGGGTTAGATTATTCAAAAGCCGAGGATCTCTTTAGCAAAAGTGCAGGGACAGTGGGTTAGAACTTAAAATCTTGCGGGGGTTCTTTTGCAAACTTGCCAGGCAAATCGGTATGTTCTAATCCTGGCCCTTGATCTCAGATTGGATGGATGGGAGGGGGATAGAGTGGCCGGTCGACCGGAACAGGACCTAGCACGGCGGCGGCGCCATGGCCGGAACGAGTGAGTTCGTCGGTGTAGTTGAATCTAGGCCTACGGGCTATGGTGGAACGAACCAAAGGCACCGGAATATAGAGAAGGAAACGGCGATGTCGGCTAGGTGGCTTACCGAAGCATGGAGCGATGGAGAGTGGCGCGGTGCACGGCGAAGCGGGCAGCTCGTCGGTGGCTAGGGTTTCGGCGGTGCTGCGGCTTGGGGCGAGGCGACAGCTTGCGATAAGGGTTGGGAACGGGGCAGCGCGGGCTCGACTACTATTTAAGGGGGCGGATAGCATGGAGAACACGGCAAACGACGAGGACAGGGCGACGATGGATTCCTGGTGGTGGCTGAGTCCGTGATGGACATGATGGCGAGGTAGAAGAAGACACTGACGCGCGGGGCCGGGCTAACAGCGACACAGGGCACGGAGAGAGGGGCGGGGATGCGGCCTGCGCGGCACGGGCCTTCGGCTGGCTTGCCGGGCCATCCCACGAGCGGAGGCTGCCTGCTAGAATGGGCCACGGAAGAGGAAAAGAGGGAGACCGAGGGCCACTCGGGCCAAAAGCATGAAAGGAAGAGGGAGAGAGAGTTTCCTCTTTTTCTTTCTTTTTCTGAATTCTATTTTCAAATCCATTTTCAAAAACATTTTAAATAAATTTGATTTTGTATCAAACCACTCATCACAATAAACAAAATGCAATGGCATGAATGCACAAAAATGTTGCTAAGCCTTATGTTAAATTTTAATTTAATAAAAATTATTATTTTCCTATGTTTTCATGAGCACAAAAATACCAAATTAAATCTTTTTAACCCTATTTCAAAAAGAGTAATTTTTAGGGTGTTACAAGTAGCTACCCCGGGCAAATTGGAATCATGACTTGAAGTGAATGTGTACACCCTCTACATAGTGTAAAACTGTTATAAGAGCCATGCTCACGGATACGAGTGGCCCAGACCCTCACATGATTAGCTTGGATTTCTTATGAAAGATGATGGATCTCTGGATTGACATGATGGATATCAGGGTGAGGTTGCTACCTCGGGTTGGTTGAGGTTGTTACCTCGTGTTAGTTGAGGTTGCTACCTCGAATGATGGATTATTTGGACAGATGGATATCTATTGGAGGTGGCTACCTTGGATGATGGTTATCTTGATGATGTTGATGATGGATTCTCTGATGGAAGTGGCTTCTTCGATTGATGGATATGCGTAGCGGAAGTGTGATGGATTATTGTTGGATGATGGCTGCCTATAATATTGATTAAACTCTTATGCAACCTTAATAGGTTATTCTAATAAAATATTGCCAACTAAAAATGCTAACCTGCAGTTAAACCTGTGTCAGCCTTTTTCTTTGTGATAGCCTTGCATGTCATTTACTTTTCGTCTGTACTTGCTGAGTTCGACATGGACTCACCCTTGCTATTTCCCCCACACCCCCGGTGTGTAGTAAAGTGCTGCTCAGAAGAAGGACAAAGATGCAGAGGAGTTTTCCAAGGTAAGACGGAAGTGCTTGGCATACGGAGCCCCCAGCCAACCATCCCTGAAAAGATTGGAGCCTGAGGAGAAGTTTAGCAACCGTTCCGCGATACTCTGATAGTTGTAAGTGTTACTATAAGTATGTTTTCCACTTTATATAAACATTGTTTTTGATATTTCTATTCTGTTGTTGTATGTGTGGACTTTCTGGGCACACATATGACGAGTGCTTGGTTCTCTTTGGAAAACCGGGCATGACACCCAAGGTTTGCCCAACTTGCTATGGAGATAGCTAGGCTCCTAAGTGGAACCTTCATTGGTGCAAACATGAATGCTTGTTTGCTGAGGGACAACTTTGACATCCGTTTTTGGCACAAGGTTGTAGCCTTCTACAGAGTGGTCACCTTGAAGAATGTCTCAGAATTTGGTGTTCATCCATTCAATCTTATACAACAGAATAGGCCTATACTTCTTTGGAGGATGGACACACCGTCTGAAGAGCTTGTGAGTTATGGTCAATTTGAACGCTCTGCAGAGGAGGAGGTTCCAAAGATAAGTTTCCGAGATGTGTTTTATGGAAACGTTAATCCTCGTGGGAAATTTGAGATCCTATTGTAGAGGTCTCGGATTCCGCCTTACTATAGCTATTTTAGCTCTTCTGAGATCCGAGAGGTAAAAACTGCAGCTGCCAAGAGGAAGCGTTTTATGAAAAATGGAATATTGCTTTGTTAATTATTCTGTCTTTGGGCTCATGTGGCAAAATATCTGAGTATATGTTTTCTTTGGTTGTCACAAGTTGCAGCATAGTCATGCATTATATAGGATGTTACAGGTTGCAACGTTATGAAACAGTACTAGTATTTATTACTACCTTGTCATGTGTAACCTGTTTTTTCCTTCAACACATATATAGGTGAGCTTTATGCCATTTCATTAAATAAGACATGTAAAGCGCTAAAGTTGTAAAGAATAACTCATATTATTTTGGCATACATTTTTGTGTAACTAGAAGATTACTACGGTTGCCAAGGTAGACACATGCATATGATTAAAATGATATTAAGGTGAATAAGACAACAAGGAAGATCCCATGCTATACTTGTCTTAAACTAAAATCCTTCTTCTATTGAATTGTAACCTCCAAAGGACTTTTTATGGATCACCAACTTCTTTTATATCACCAACGCAAAGCTCACCGACTAAACATGATAATAAAACACCACACAAGCATCCATGCAATCATACACGAAGCAAACAATAGATCTAAATTAGAACAGTATACCAAACATAAAATCAAGATGAAAAGTTTGTAAAACGAATCTACGTCTCGCTATGAACACACAGACGCGAAAAGCACTCTAATCGGAGGTATAACGAAAAAGTTATGAATTAAACAAGATTTTCTTTAAAAAAATAATATATTAAATCTAACCTCAAATTTCAAAAGTTGAAAATATATTTAACAGTAGGATGAACATGTAGATTACTCAATTATGAATCTAACGCAACTTTAATGGATCAAAACGGAGTTAAAACGAAGATTTTATGGCCTAAATAAGACTAGTGGCAAAACTATAAATAGATGAAAGCGTATTTTGGATCTAACCGAAGAAACTACGTTTTCAAAAGAAGTAAATGTATTTTGAATCTAGAAGAGGGATTTTACGCTTTCTGAAAGAGAAAATGTATTCTAAATCTATTAGAAAGAAACTACTCTTTCGGAATAGAAAAAAGTATTCTGGAAGTACGCCATGGACTGCGGGTTATATTACGTGAAACTGCAGGGGCTCTTTTACAAATAAATCCGGCGAAGGGGTATGGGCGATCTTGGACCATTGGATTGAATCTGGATGGCCCAGATTATAAAGGAGGAGGAGAGAGAGTCACCGGCCGGAGAAGAAAACCAGCGCGGCGGAGCTCCATTACCGGCGGCGAGAAGCTCCTGGGAGCGCTTGGTTTGGGCCTTAGAGGCCACGGTTTGACGAGCCGAGAGCACAGAGAATAAGAGGAGAAGACGGTGAACTCACCTAGGGCATTCTTGCGGTCGACGGTGGGTCTACAGCGTCGGGCAGCGCGGCGACGACGACGAGAGAAGGAGAAAAATCTAATTTACTACACGAGGGATTTCTCAAACTAGGGGCTCCCCTTACGGTAGTTTTGGTGTGATTTGCCCAAGGCATTGGTACATATTTATAGGGAGAAAAACTCCCCACATCTATATCAACTAGCAATATGGTACTAATTGATGTTGCACCCTCCACATTTACTAAATGACCTAAATAATCAGTAAAGCCCATTAGTAAATAAATGCATGGGCCTTTGAGATTTATTAGGATTATTGCACATGGGCTTTGAGAGTTGGTTGAAAAATGAGATATATTATTTATTTTCGGAATTAATTAATTTTGTGAATAAAATAATTCTAGAAAAGTCCAGAATTGATATTTAAGCCACGAAAAATACTCCGATACCTCAAAAAATTTGAGGAAAATTCCCAGAGACACTTTGGAACATGATGAACCCAAATAAAGTATTTGGAGCTCATGAAAAGATTGTTGGGAACTTGGAACATAAATATTAAGGTGAAGGAGGTAGGAATTAAATTACAGAAAGAAGCTGGAAAATTCCTAGATATAGATATTCGTCTCCTAAACGTATTTAAAAAAACACATTTTGCACATAAAAACACAAGGTGCAACCGGCATGAATGCAACAAACACGTTTCTACCTTAAGATAAATTTTAATCTAATGAAAATTTATTATTTCCCCATGTTTTCATGAGCATAAAAATACAAAATTAAATTATTTTAGCTCTATTTCAAGAGAAGCAAATTTTAGGGTGTTACATTTCTCTGAAATTCTTTTATTGAGCGGCCAAGATTTTACAAATTATGACCTCCTTACACTCAGAAAAGGATGTGCAGTGGAACATCAAAAAAATGTGTTGAATACAAACAAAGATAGGAGGTTGCTTGTTGTTGAATTAGATGGTGATGGTCATGAAGATGCTTGGAATAAGTTGTTCTCTTCTTATAAACAACATGTGCCAAGGGGTAGTAAAATCATAGTTACAAGCCGATTAGACGAGGTCGTCAAGTTTGGAACAACACCACCTCTACATCTGAAGTACCTATCCCGTGAAGCGTACTGGTATTTCTTTAAGACACTTACATTTGGAAGCACAGACCCCAAGATGCACCCTCGGTTTGCTCACGTGGCCATGGAGATAGCTAGGACGCTTGGCTTATGCTTCCTTCGTGCAAACTTCATTGTTTCTTCGTTGAGGAAGAACTTTGACATTCACTTTTGGTGCAAGGTTTTGACCTACTTAAGACGGGTTATCCGGAAGAATGTCTACAGATACGGTGGGCATCCATTTGATCTTATAAACCAGAATAGGCCGGTACATCTTTGGAGAATGGCCACACCATCTGAAGAGCTTGTACTTCATTGTCAGTTTCAACGCTGTTCACAGGATGAGATTCCAAAGATCACCGTCCAAGATGTGTTGTATGGAAATGTTAAGCCTCAAGGAAAATTTGAGTTCCTATCATGGAAGTCTCGGATTCCACCTTACTATAGCTATGTTACCTCTTGTGAGATTCGAGAGCAAAAAACTGCAGCTACCAAGAGGAAGCGTTCTACTATGTAAAAATGGAATCACATTTGTTGAATTTCTTCTGTTGTTGGGCTTATGTAGTGAAACATCTGAGCATGTTTTGATAGGGTGTCACATACACGTTATAGCATAGTCATGCTGGAGAGGATGTTAAATGTTGCAACCTGTGAACTGTACTACTGTTAGTAAGTTACTACCTTGCCATGCGTAAAGTGATTTTTCTCCACCAAAATACTCAGGAGAGGCATCCATATGTAAAAATGATCAGCGAACCAATTTGCACAGCCCGTCTCTATACATCGATTTTTACCGGGGGCTTCTTAACCACCTCTGAAAATTGAGATATTTTCAAAGGTGGGTCCCTTAAGAGACCGTCTGTTGCCCATCTCTAAAAATTATTCTCAAAATCTGTTTTTGTTAGATACCACCTTTTAAAAAAGTTGTTGACTTGTCATACATAAATATATAAAAGGTTTCATGAAGTTGGGTTTGACAAACTCTATATCCAAATTGTATAACTCGACAAGATTTAGAACTTCGTAGTTGCCATACATTTATTACAAGCTTTCAGATCTATTTAAAATATTTTTATATTTCCACAGTCATGTCTAGAAGCTATTTCCACCTTATATGTATACTGAAGGAAATGTTCTCCTGTTGTAGCAACATGTATGTTGTGGGATGGTAAGCTAGCAAGGATCTCAATTTTCAACATTCCCACCAAACGCAAAATGGATGCGCTCACATTTCGCTTGAAAAATCGTGTAGCCTATGACTGGACTATGAATAATATGTCAGGGCGGAGCTGCTGTTTTCCACACATGGTACAAATGAACCAAGTCAGGCGAGATACTATGTACCGTCATCTCTATCCACCAGCTACTCCCGTGTTCACCAACATTATATTGTGCCTGTAGTTGGCCAAGGGTCGTCGGAGAGGAGCCGATGAGGAATACTCAATTAGACAGAGATGAAACGAAGGGTCACTTTTCTAATATCCTAGTCAATCAAAGGGCTATGTGGAAAATACACACAAATGCACAATTAATAATTGTGATCGAATATTGAGTACATATGCAAATATTTTGATAGCGACCCAAACAATCTCAGATATTTCCTCTTCCGGTCCTGCTTATTCCTTTTAACCTTGGCCTCAAACTGAAAAATCTCGCTGCTATATATATGTTTGTGATATGGTGGCAAGTGGGATTTCCAAACTAATACCTCAAATTTGCCATGAGGTGTAACATTTGAAGAAATAATTTCTGTCTGACTTATGTTGGGAGCCTCTTCTTCGTCAAGCGCTATCCGATCATGGCAGTGAACTACACAATGTTGCGTGGTTTCAGTTACTCTCTGAAAATATATATGATCAATTACCGACCTAAAGTTACTGAGGCGTGAGGCCTTTACTAGACAAGTGTTAATTTTGCTGCCTGTTCTCCCTGATGCATTGTAGTATCTTGAGCCTATTATGAACACCATGATTAAATAAACTTTAACAGGTTGGCTGTGTTATTTAGATCTATGAAAGACCCAGTGAATGGTGCATATATGCCTTTCAAATAACTCATCAAGTATAGTCACTGCTATGGATGATAACTTTGGTTGCTCTTCACAGTATGCACTTCCAAATAGAAGTGCCTTGAAAAATAGTTTTGATATTATTGGAATATATGGATGTTTGTATTGGGAAGGATTGAATTTAGATTTTTTCATTGGATTTAAATTGGATTTATCCATAAGGATTTGGATGTAATCCATAGCCACATCTATTTGTGCATTGTAGATCAACTACAATTTTGGCTCAGGGCATGTGCTTTCTACTATGCCAAAACTGAAGTGATGGGAAAGGGAAGGGATTCATAGATGGTGATGGCTATTGGCTCTGCATCACTAAGGTTGAGAAGTCAAAGATGTACCTTCCTCAGTGGCAGGTTTGTGACATGCAAACAAATTGAAGTAGGTGGCTTGAATTGTTGGATCACGCCACCAAGGTTGCAACATAAAAGCATTTGCTGCAATATACGTCTTAAATAGATGAAACATTTACAACATACGCTTGCAACATATTTGTATGAGCACTGCAACATATACAATATCCAGATAAAACACTTGCAACATACGTTTGAAACAGCTGAAACATTTGAAACATACACTTGCAACATATGTGTATAGCCCATATGCAACATTCAGATAAAACACTTGCAACACATGTGTGAAAACATATGCAACATCCGGATAAACACACTTGCAACATACATTGAAAAAAAAGATGAAACATTGAGAACAGAAGCTTGCAACATACGTGCACAACCATTGCAACATATGCAATATCCTGATCTACTTTTGCAACATCCATCTGAAACACTTGAAACATACGCTTGCAACATGCGTTTTTCACTCTTCTTCCGTGCGACGCTAAGTAGAGCGGGGAACGGCCGGTTCCGTCCACCAGCGGCCGAGGATGGTGGCGCTGCCAGGCAACGGCTAGCTCCGCCTGGCCTGGGCCTGGCCAGCGATGGCCCCCTCTCCTAGCGCCTGGCCTAGGCGCCAAGAGGATTCTTCCTCTTTGCGGGGGACGGAGGCACCGCCGGGTACGAGGCCAAGCGCCGCAAGGGCTGGCGGCGGCGGCGTGCTGGAGTGAACCACGACGCGTGATAGAGGCGCCTCTGGGGATGGCGGCGCCGGTGCGGCGGAGTGGGGCGGGCGGACGGCCGCACGGCATGAGGCGGAGTCGGGAATTTTTTTTATGAGAGAGGTGGGCGAGAGAGGCGGGTGAAGCGGAGTGGGATGCCGCGTCTGACGGGATGGACGCCCGCGTCTAAGCGTCTAGCCATCTATTGAATAATTATGAATACAATGGCCTTACTTTTTTCTAAGAACCATGCAATGGGCTGGACTGTTAAGAATAAATAAATTAATAATGATGTGAAACCCTACACAGACGAAAGACTTCACAAGTTACAACAAAGTCATGGCGGAGGTGCCGTTTTCCACATGCCCACGGTACCAATGGATTGCACCTGTCCGCGTGCGAGCTTTGACTTGTCCCATGGTTTCGCCATCGACGTCCATGACACTGTACGTGTGCTGTCCGGCGTAGTGCCAAGAAGGCAAGAAGTCTAAGGGTTGATGACGCCACGCCTCACTCTGCACAATTGAAAGGAGAAAATGTAACAGGGGCACTGTGCTTCTTGATCTCTCTCTTTCCCGTGACAGTTGCACTTAAGGAACGGTATTTTTCTGTGCCTCACAATTTTTTTCAATTGTGGTTCATAAAGAGAAGACACAAGTATTATATATAAACAAAAATGTGAGCCAAGGGTTATGAACGGCCACTGTAATAAACCAATCTACTCCGGTGGTTAGGCTTAAGGGACCACCAATGTGAATCTTAGATTTACGGGTTTCCTAGCGCCCGGACGTCCGGCGCGCTAGATGCGTCCGGACGCCGCTCCGGTTCCCAAACTCGCCCGCCCTGCAAACGATAATCGAATAGAATCGGATCAGAATAGAATTGCGTCCACTGCACCCCCGTCCCCGTTCCCCACCGCGCCCCGTTCCCCACTGCACCCCTGTCCCAAGAGCACGAAACACTTCAAGTGCAACATCGCAAATTATGTAAACTATGTAGTGCAATATCGCAAAACTATATAGTGCAACATTGAAAAATATGTACTGCAACATCGAAAATTATGTACTGCAACATTGAAAAATTATGTACTACAACATTTCAAACAGTAGTACTGCAACATCGCAAAATCAACCATCAAACATGAAAATGGAAACAACTCAAAATCACCTTTCAGTGCTGCAACATTTGAAAAAGGTAATTTCAACAATTAAAAACCCCTATATTGCAACAATCCCAACATATATTAGAACTCTCTTTTGCAACACATGAACCACCCTATTGCAATATTTGAAAATCATCTATTGCAACATCCCAAAAAATCCCCTTGCAACACGGAGAAACAGCAAAAGGCGTACAAACAGCAAGGGGATGGGTTTGAGGTGCAGGCTGCTCCGGCCCCTGGCCCTTCACCTTCGAGCTCGCCGGAGGGAGGAGGGAATAGGGTCCCAAAGCTCGCTGAAACCCTTGCCACCGCCGCGTCCCACAGATCCAGAGGAGGAGAAGGAGGAGGAGGATGGCTTAGATCCAGAGGAGGAGGAGGGCTCAGATCCAGAGGAGGACCGACCTACCTCATCGGAGCCGCTGCCGTCGTCCTCGTCTCCGGTGGGGGGAGCGGGAGCCGGGTCACTGTGGAGCGCTGGGTCGCAATGGAAGCTGGGGGGGGGGGGGGGAGGGGGGAGGGAGCGCAGGCGAGAGGGCAGCGAGCTGGGCGCTGGTGCGGCGTCCGTCCCCGGGGGCGCTAGCAGGCCTAGAGTGCAGTGTGGGCGGGCACAGCAGTGAGTGAGCGAGCCAACTGATAAGTGCGTGGAGGAGAGAAGTGAGGAGCGAGCGGATGAGTGCGGGTTATAGAATGCGGATCAGTGGAGGAGGTGTGTCCGATGTGTCGGACGTTTGATAAGAAGCATTATCGTAGATTTATACTGACGGCAGCGGCCTTAATGAAACCATAAGTGTAAGCATAACCTATATTGGCAGTTGGCTTAAGGCATCATCAGTATAAATCTTGGATTTATATACTAACGGTAGTTTTAAATTCACTTTTTTTCAAACCTTGGATGGAGATACAATCTAAACCGAAGTTCTAGTACTTGATGAGATCTGCAATTTTATAGTTGACTAGGTTTTTTTATTTGAAATCATTTAGTACATGAAAATTCTTTTTAAAGTTTTCAGATTTTAAAATCTATTTTTTTCATTTAGGGTTCAAAATGTGCATTATAATATTTGTTATTAAAGTTAATAAAAATAGATTGTATCATCTACTTGGTCATGAGTGACTTTTAAGATGTAGTGGTAAGCAAGAAGCGTGGGAGGCTTGAGAACATGCAGTCATGGGAGGCTGATTGGTGGGCCTCTCCCGGTCTCTTTCATTTGCTATTTTTCCCTCATGATTTGTGAAATCTGGAAGACTAGTGTAAAAAAAGATCTACATTGACGGTTCTTAAGTTGACGTTAGTGGAACATCAGTATTTTCACTGACTTTTCACACCTGTGGTTCAGAAAATGCTAATAGAAATTGAAAAAGTGCCGCCAATATTATGTTAAAATTTGGGCTTGGGCCTTGTATATTCAGGAAAGTCCAAATAAATCTCAAATCAAAGGTAATAAAAAGGATTATATGGAAGCTCTCTAAGGCCAGTCTCCATGTGAGTTTCATATGTGTTTCATTTGTATTAAATAGGTTGCCACATAGGCATTTTTTATGACGTGACAGTGTATTTAAGAAGAGAGAGAAGAAATGAGTTATGAAACTCTCTTGACACGATTACTAACTCTCTTTGAGTCATGAAATTAAATACTTATGAAACTCTAAAATGAAACTTTGCATTGAGGAATGATGTTTCATCCAAATTTCATTTCATTCTATATAACATGACATTCTTGGAAACAACGCAGTGAAACAATCCATTGAGACTGGCCTAATCCATACAAGCTTACTCGTTCGCCTGACCAGGCCAACTCGGGCCATGGTAAAAGGGTGCATGCAGCAGCACCTGCGACTTCCATTTACCTTTTTTCATTCATTTTAAGTGTCCAACTTGAAAAGCATCAATTTAGATCGTGACTGCGAAATGAGATTTAGGGTGAGTTTGGCAAGCTGAAACGTTCTATATTCTCAGCTGGAACGACAAAATCACTTCCAAACGGTGAAAACACGAAACATTTCAAGGCAAGAACGAGAGGGCATGCCTCTGAACCTCCCACACACTTGCGATCATGCACTTAGACAAGATGAATAAGGACGTGTTTGGTAGGGCTTCTTCGGGCTCCGGCTCCTTGCTACAATACCAGAGTAGCCGAACCGGAGGAGCTACAAATCGTGGCTTCTCCCGGCTCCCAGTTTATTTTGACCGGAGAGAGAAAACAGCTCCTATGAATAGTGCTGCTACAGTGGAAAGATATAGGAGGAGGCGGAGCCATGAGAAGCCCTGCTAAACACGTCCTAAGTTTTTTTTCGAAGCACTTTGTGTGATATTCATGTTCTTCACCGTGGCTCATCTTTGTTAATTATGCTTAGTCCTACATTGAAAATTGATGGTGAGGAAGCATAATATATAAGGTGGGGGCAACCCTGACCTATTAGACTAGTATTTTGGGTTGAGCTTAGACTTAAAGCATGGGACGCCGGCTGACGAGATCCTAACATATGGGTATGTTAAGTCTCGGGATCAAATAGTTCCCGAGACCCCCCGACCAACCCCTCTAGGATCGCTAGGGTGCTCGGGGGCTATACCCATCGGATACGCTCGAGCGCACCCTCAGACCAAAAAACCGGCCGAGCCTAAGCACGCCGTGGCCTCTGCTTAGGACTCGGGGGCTCGCCCGAGCATCAGGCTCCCGATCAACGAGAAGCCCGAGCCCGATCCTTGGCTCCTGCCTGGCCTACGACGCCACCCAAGGCCCGGGCGCAAGAAGACACGCTCCGAGCCATCGAGGCTCGAGGGCTCCCCGACGCTGCACCTTGGGCGTGGCTTCGCCGGCCACTCACCGATAGGGTCACGCGCGGGGCGTGACACATGAAGACAAGCTCCTACTCGGCCTCTAGAGGCTCGGGGGCTTCCGAGTCCGCACGTCAGCCCCTCGAGCCGACCTCCCTCTGCCAACAGGAAGACTTCAGAAGGCACGCCTAGGGGAGGCTGGTCCAAGCCGACACAGCCTGACACTCAGCGTGTCAGAATAGCCCAGCCAGACAATGCCCAGGGCTTCTTTGGCTCTATGACATTGCCACGGTTCACAGAGCACCGCTGCAAGACCCTCCTAGACTCCGGCGCATGTAGACCATAGGCTCAACCCCCAAACCGCCATGTACCCGACCTATCTTGATATATAAGGGATAAGACCGGATCCTAGATGGGGGAGGACGATCCAAGACAGATCATTCCATTCCTCATCGATCCGCTCCTGCTCGACACCGAGAGCAGAGCAACCCAGAGAGGGGCACCAAGAGCCCCTCCACCGCACCCGTCGTCTTCCTCCTCTCCGACGAGGTGAAGACTCCACCGGCGGTGAGGCAACCTCAGGATTAGCACTGAGCTAACCTCCTATCAAATCTCTCTCTACCTCCTGTACACTCTGTTGTAACCCCCCGATTTTAGGTGCTCTTGAGTATAAGGATCATTAGCTGCTGGATGTAGGGCATCGATCGACCCAAACCAGGACAAACCGTTGCATTTTCTCTGTGATTCTTGTGTTCTTGAGTCCACCCTAGCCACCGGAGACATGTACTCTGACACCGACTCGAACAATAATGCTTGCCGTGGTTCCGACCCCGCGACACCGGCTCATAGGTGTACCAAGATGACCAGATCCGCTGCGCACTCTAACAAATAGTATGAAAGCCCATGGTCAGAAAACCTAAAAAATCTCAAGGCTTACATGGTGACATTGGAGCCCATTAACATCTCGATGGTCACACCGGTTTTGTGTGTGACATCTTCGAGCATTGGACTCTGGGCTGGCAAATGTCTTCTAGAGTTCACAAAGGATTGTGTGATGCGAAGAGTTAGGCCTGATGTGTGATATGAGAGATTGTTAGGTTTAATGCCATATTGGAAATTGATGGCGGGGAGCACAACATATATGATAGGGGCAGCCCTCACCCATCACACTAGTCCTTTAGGTTTAGTTAGGCACAAGTCTTGTTATGTTCCGGGCTCCGGTGGACCTAGACCTGAGGGGCTGCTTTCTCATGGATATCACTACTACAGTAATCTTAACGGAGGCGGTCAAAAATGGTTTACGGAGGTCCGCCTCCATCGAAAGGTCTGCGTTAATGCAGACCTCTGCCGCCTCGGTTAATAAATGGGCGGTGCCTTGCAAAATCATTTGTGCAGTGTTGTATAGCAAGCTGTGCCGGATCCGCTGTACACTCTAACCAAGTATGCATTGCTAGATAGATAGATGTGAAAAATAATTGGAATGCCTATGTTGCAGGGAAGGCTTGCAAACAAGTTACATTTGATTGTGATGCTATTGGCTCTGCGTCACTAAGGTTAGGTAGTGAAAAGATGTACCTTTCTCAGCAGGTAGGTTTGTGACAGGCAAAGAAGTTGCAGTAGTAGGTGGCTGGAACTGTTGGAGTGCACTGACTCGACCAAGTAACTGTCCCTCCCTCCCTCCTCAATCTGCTGCGTTAAAACTCTGAAAGGTCTCTATTCACCTCCAGTAAAACACAAGGAGATTTTGGAACAATTGCGACACTTCTTCTCTTTTCTCCTCCACCCACTGTGCGATCTTCCGGATAATAGCAAGAGTCTGGAAATGGACATGATAATTTCTGCATTGCTTGGTGAGGCGATCACTAGATCCATAAGTTTCGTCGTCAGCAAAAGCTCCAAGCAGAAGGTGCCGGATGTTGAGGACAGCCTCAAAAGGTTTCTCCTTCGGGCACAGGTCATCATTGACGAGGCCACTGGACGGGAAATCACAAACCAAGCTATGTTGCAGCAGCTGGGCATGCTGGGAGATGCCATGCACCAAGGCAATTACATACTCGACACTTATAGATACCAATCTCATGATTTGGAGGATGGCAAGGATTCTGTTGTGAGTCATTCTTTGTCTCTGTGCAAAATAAATTTTCTTAGAGGAGTATCTTCTTCCAATAGAAAGACGGAGATTTTGGAACAATTGCAATATGCTCTTGACAATTTGAACTCTATGGTAATTGATGTGAAAGAGCTGGTTGGGTTCTTGACGAGCTACCCTCGGATGTACCGCCAGCCTTATAGCATGCATCTGCTGCTGAGCAACTGCATGTTTGGCCGCCAGATGGAAGCACATCTTGTTATTAGCTTCCTGTTGAATACACAACCTCGTGGTTTTGAAGAATTAGAGGTCCTGCCAATTGTTGGTCCATACGAAGTTGGCAAGAGCACCCTTGTCTCTCATGTTTGCAAGGATGAAAGAGTTCGTGATCATTTCTCAGAAATTCTTTTATTGAGTGGCCATGATTTTACAAATTATGACCTCGCTACACACAGCAGAGGATGTGAGGTGGAACATCAAAATCATTTGTTGAACTCAAACAAAGATAGGAGGTTGCTTTTTGTTGTTGAATTAGCTGGTGATCTTAACGAAGATGCATGGAATAAATGGTGCTCTTCCTATAAACAACACGTGCCAAAGGGTAGTAAAATCATAGTCACAAGCCGGTCAGACAAAATCATCAAGTTTGGAACAGCACCACCTCTACATCTGAAGTATCTATCGCGTGAAGCATACTGGTATTTCTTTAAGACGCTTACATTTGGAAGCATGAACGCTGAGATGCATCCAAGGTTTGCACACGTCTCCATGGAGATAGCTAGGATGCTTAGTGTATGCTTCATTCGTGCAAACTTCATGGCTTCTTTGTTGAGGAACAACTTTGACATTCACTTTTGGTGCAAGGTTTTAACCTTCTTAAGATGGGTCATCCAGAAGAATGTCTCCAAATACGGTGGGCATCCATTTGATCTTATAAACCAGAAAAGGCCTGTACATCTTTGGAGAATGGCCGCACCGTCTGATGAGCTTGTACTCCATTCTCGGTTTCAACGCTCTTCGTCGGAGGAGGTTCCAAAGATCAGCATCCAAGACGTGTTTTATGGAAATGTGAAGCCTCATGGGAAATTTGAGTTCCTATCATGGAAGTCTCGGATTCCACCTTACTATAGCTATGTTACCTCTTGTGAGATTCGACAGCAAAAAACTGCAGCTACCAAGAGGAAACGTTCTACTAAATAAAAATGGAATCATGTTTGTTGAAATTTCTTCTGTTGTTGGGCTTATGTGGTGAAACATCTGAGCATATTTTGATAGGGTGTCATATGCAGGTTTGATTGAGAGGATGTTATGGGTTGCAACCTTGTGAACTGTACTACTGTTAGTAAGTTACTACCTCGTCATGTGTAAAGTGGATTTTTCAACCTCTATATTTCCCTGAGTTAAATGAATTGATAGCCATTATTTTGCCCAGGACATGCCTTTTCTTCTCCCTTTTATTGTTTCGCTAGCAAACATGACCTTGCATTGCAACATAACGTATAGCTTGTTGTGCCATCACCAAGACGACTTACGGCTCATGGATTTATGCAACAATCATGTCATATATTGTAATTTACATCTTGGAATTATACTTTGTGCCATAGCTAGATGCAGAGGGGAGAGAGTGATATGTGATGGGATGTCCTGACCGATGAAAAAGTAGTGTTGACATAATTGCTTCTTTGAAATTAGCTATAGATTTGAACCCAGAACAGAGCCTCATGATCTTGAATCTTGATTGATGATTTGTAATGAGCAGTCCCTCTGCCACCTCGCTAATGAACCTGCAGCCGTCCGTCCCGTTGAAGTATATATGTGGCCATGGAGATGTATCATGACATTGATGGTTGAGATGAGGACCTGTATCTTGGGCTGCCCACTCCATCTTCTGCTTCGTTCTGCAGACCGTAGCAGAGCGGCAGATGAGTGGAGTGCTCTGACTGTAGCAGAGCTCTGAGAGGTAATCCGATCAGCAGTTGTTGGATTAGATTTGGACTTGGCTCATTTTTAATTCAATTAAATCATATGCTTGTATTAAATGCTAAGGTGTATTATAGTTTTAAGTCTCATAGGAGATTTTGACTAAACCAACTTATTTGGGTGCACTATGTGTGCTTCTATTGAGAAGTTGACATAGGCTAGGAGTGTGCCTCCGGGCCGAACCGTGCCATGCCATGCTGTGCACGGGCCTCTGTCCCAGTAACTCCGCCTGTCCAGGAGCGTCCTCCCGACTCTACATTCGTCCTAGTAACTCCGTCCATTCAGGTGCATCCTCCTTCCTCTGCCCGTGTATAAGTACAGAGTCCCATCAATAGCCTCGTGCGAGACACATAAATCGCACACTCTCTTCTCTATCGAGTTGTTCCAAGTTTTCCCCAATCTAGCCTTTTATGCGCATAATAGATGCTGGACGGCGGGCCTCTGGAACCAACGCCCGTCTATGACACCAGCTTGGGTGATTAAGCATCCAAAGTTAGATGCTGCTAGATGTGGAAATAATTGGAATGGCTTAGCTTGCCATTAGCCTACCACCTATGTGTCAGGGAAGCCTTGCAAACAAGTTACATAGATAGTGATGGCTATTGGCTCCGCGTCACTAAGGTTAGGAAGTTTCGCAGTAGGTGGCTTACGACCTTTCTCAGCTGGCAGGCTTGAACTGTTGAGTGCACTGAATGGTCTGAAAGGTTGCTCGTCACCAAGTAACTCTGTCCCTCGCTCCGTCCTCGACCTGCTGCGTTAAAACTCTGCATCATGCTCTCTATTCCTCCAGTAAAACACACGGAGATTCCGGAACAACTGTGAAGGACATCCTCCACCCACTGTGTGATCCTCCTAATAAGAGAAAGAGCCCGGAAATGGACATGATATTTTCTGCAGTGCTTGGTGAGGCGATCACTAGATCCATAAGTTTCGTCATCAGCAAAACATCCAAGCGGAAGGGGCCTGATGTCGAGGACAACCTGCAGAAGGTTGTCCTTGGGGCACAGGTCATCACCGACGAGGCCACAGGACGCCACATCACGAACCAGGCTATGTTGCAGCAGCTCGGCATGCTGAGAGATGCCATGTACCAAGGCAATTACATACTTGACACTTCCAGATGCAAATCTCATGATGTGGAGGACAGCAAGGATTCTGTTGTCAGTCGTTCTTTGTCTCTGTGCAAAGTAAATTTTCTCAGAATGAAGTATATCTTCTTACAATAAAAAGACAGAGAATTTGGAACAATTGCAAGATGCTTTTGACAATTTGAGCTCTGTGATCCTTGATGTGAAAGAGCTGGTTGTTTTCTTGACGAGTTACCCTTGCCTGTACCGCCAACCTTATAGCGTGCATCTACTGTTGAGCAATTGTATGTTTGGCCACCAAATGGAAGTACAACTTGTCATCAGCTTTCTGTTGCATACACAACCCCATGGTTATGAAGACCTAGAGGTTCTACCGATTGTGGGTCCATACAATGTTTGCAAGAGCACCTTTGTCTGTCATGTTTGCAAGGATGAAAGAGTCCATAACCATTTCTCTGAAACTTTGTTCTTGCACAGCCATGATCTTGCAGATTATGACCTCGCTATACTGAGAGAAGCATGTGCAGCAGAACATCAAAATCATGTGTCTAACTCAAATAGCGACACGAGATTGCTAATTGTTGTTGAGTTAGTTGATGATCTCAATGAAGATGCATGGAATAGGTTGTGTTCATCTTCTAAACAGCGAGCACCAAAGGGTAGTAAAATCATAGTCACTAGCCGATCTCACAAGATAATCAAGTTTGGAACAGCACCACCTCTATTTTTGAAGTATATGTCCCCTGAAGCGTATTGATATTTCTTCATGACACTTATATTTGAAAGCATGGATCCCAGAATGCACCCAAGGTTTGCTCACATTGCCATGGAGATAGCCAGGATCCTGAGTGGAACCCTTATTAGTGCGAACGTGACTGCTTATTTGCTGAGGGACAACTTTGACATCCAATTTTGGCACAAGGTTTTAGCCTTGATGAGAGGGGTCGTCTTGAAAAACATCTCTGAATTTGGTGTGCGTCCATTTGATCTTATAAACCAGAATAGACTGTACTTTTTTGGAAGACAGCCACACCATCTGAACATCTTGTGAATTATTGTCAGTTTCAACGCTCTTCAGAAGAGGAGGTTCCAAAGAAAGATCTATATCTCTTATAAAGCTAGTCCCCACTACAAGTTTTATATCAACATACAAACCATCCACATCATCTCCCACTAACTCTCCACACCATCTCCCACTAATAGCCATGCTATCCCACTAACTTTCAACCTTAGTATCTACATCATCTCCACACTAAGAACAATTACTACTTTTAATATATAAGACATATAGAAGACGTTCATATATTGCTATTTGTTTTGTTGTTCCATCTTAGAATTTGATCTAATTCTATTAGTTTTTTATTCGATCTTTTGGTTGTCTTGCCCAATTTTGATAAGAATAGATGTAAGAACATGCAGGTTTAACCCATGTAACATTTTTATTTCTCAAAAAGTCCCGCAGCAACACGCGGGATATCCTTCTAGTTTTCAAGATGTGTTGTATGGAAACATTAAGCCTAGTGGGAAATTTGAGGTCCAATTATGGAGGTCTTGGATTCCGCCATACTATAGCTATGTAAGCTCTTGCGAGATCCAAGAGGTAAAAACTAGAGGTGCCAAGAGGCAGCGTTCTATGAAAAATAGAATACCGCTTTGTTTGTTTCTTCGGTCGTTGGGTTTATGTGGCAAAATATCTAAGTATGTTTTGATATGGTGTCACAAGTTGCAGCGTAGTTTTCTTTCGAGGAAGGAAAAAAAATATGATATAAGGTTACATGTTGCAATGCTATGAAATTGTAACATAATTACTACCTTGTAATGTGTCACGATTGTTTTTCTTAAACATGCAGGAGAGTTGTGTGTCATTTCTTTAAAGATGATATGTAAAGTATCCATGATTTAAAGAATAAATCATGATATTTGTGATCTTTTGACTTCCAAACCATAGCAAAAATCATAATATAGATTCATGGCATCGTGAGACATGAGTTGAGTCACCGTAATTTAAGCTAATGTTTCAACGAAATGCATATTGAAGATACACGGATGTGCCATGCACTACTATAGAACAGGGAAACACTGCCGGTTCCAAGGGGCATATCACTGCTAGAATTTGAACCGCCACAAGGTAATCGGCAATGATGCCTCTTTGCTAACACTGCCGGTACTTCACCCGACATTGATAGGCCTTAAAAAAACCAAAAAAAGGAATCCAGCAAGCATGCTCGCTGGAGCATGCTCGTCCACAAATCATACAAGAAACAATTCATACATCACAAACGAGGAGGAATTCATGCAAGAAACCCGGCTACCACCGCAGTTCATCCAAGAAACAATTCATACATCACATACAAACGAGGAGGGATTCAACACATCACAAATCAATTTGTACATCACAGACAAAGGAGAAGGGTTCAATACATCACACATCAACTCATCCACAAATTGAGATTCCACCGATGGATTCATACAACATACAGGGAGGGGAGGGGAGGCCAGGAGGAAGAAGCCATCGGGTGGATCCGCGCCGAGCCGCTCACCAGCGCAAGGAGGAAGAAGCCGTCGGGTGGATCCACGCTGAGACGCTCGCTAGCGCCAGGAGGAAGCCGCTGGGTGGATCCACGCCGAGCTGCTCGCCAACACCAGGAGGAAGAAGCCGCCGGGGTGGATCCGTGCTCGCGCCGCTCGCCACGCTCCCACCAGGGTGGATCTGTGCTCGCGCCGCGCCGTGGTCCCGATCGCTCGCCGCCGTCTGTGGTGGCCTCATGCCCACGCCGCGCTTGGGTCCCGACCGGCCACCGGTGCCCGCGGCGGCCTCGTGCCCGCGGCAGGGTGGAGCGTCTGCTGGGGTGGATTTGGTGAGGAGATTTTTGGAGGTTGGGAGGAGGAGCTCTAGGGAGTTGGGAGGAGCAGTGGAATCCGATATTTGTGGATAGATAGGGAGCAGAGAGAGAGAGAGAGAGAGAGTGCATGGACGTCAGTGAGAGTTAACCGGGATGAATAAAAATTTCGGGTCCGGCGTCTATGGATCACTGGCGGTTTGTAATGCAACCCGGCAGTGATAGACATTACTGTTGGCTTTTATTACCAACCGGTAGTGATAATATCTATCACTGTTGGTTTGTTAGAAAA